TCAAAACTTCCTCCCTGACTTTCCTTTTTTTTTTTTTTAACCGGAACAGGTACAGAGTAGACATTCCCAGGTGGAGGAGGGGATCCTGCCACAACCAATTGAATGCCCTGCATGCTAAGCTGTAGCCATAGTGGGAGACCAATGCAGCGCTGCCCCCTCCTCATGGCAAATGAATGTGGGCCACCCCTGTACATCGTGGTTAAATAAGGATCAGGATAAACAAATAGGCCGAATAGATGTTTATTCAGGGAGAAATAACTTACAACCTAGACAGATGAACACCAGGAAATTCAACCCGATCCTCTCCTGTCCAAGTCACGCCAGAAAGAGAGCTTTTCCCGGCTCTCCCTCCGACTTCCTTCCACAGGTCACTTCCGCCCCTGGCTCCACCCCCAATGGGCGTGGTCAGTGCCACAGAAGGAGACAATGTAACTATCTCACAACAATTCCCCTTTTAGTCTAAAGAAAAGATTTAGGCTGGATACAAAACTATATACAAAACAGTGAATAACAAGTGTGCTCTAAGAAAAGGAAAATCGAGAACAAAATGACCTACATATCTAGTCCTAGGGTGAAGGCATAACCGAGTTTACAATAGAGTTGTCCTAAGCTGGAAAACGTAAGTCTAGTACCTAATATATCTAACTAGGAAGAGAGAATAATAGTTGTGATAGTTTAGTCTTCAACCTCATCAAGACCTGAGAAGGAAAATAACGATACTAGGGTGGACAGGAAGTGCAGATGGGCAACTTCCAAAAGGTACAGCGAGGACAGAAACAGCAAGCTACCTGAACAGTCACCCAAGGTCTCACAGCAATGTTGGTACACCCAGTTTTGGCTAAGGCCTAGAGCACTTGACAGACCACAACAACAGCAGCGAGGTAGAAAGGCTGTCTTACCCTGACTTGGCAAGGTCCGACAGTCTTCTATATTTGTCTCTTGCAAACACATAGGACTGCATGTCCAAATCAGTGGTCAAGGTGGGGGCAGTTCTTTGCCCAACAGGCCATTAGCTGAGGCGAGAATGAACTCCAGCAGAAGCAACAACAGTGTCCAACATATTTTCGGGAAAGTGCACAGTGCTGTCAGGAGCAACAGTGTCTCATGTCAACCGAGTACTAATATTAAAACATTTAAATGCCGTGTTCTGCATGTCTATGAAGTGATTGAAGATTAAGCATCTATGTCTGACTAATCTCATAGGTAAAGGAAACATGAGTGAAGATAACCTGTAATACTCAGGAACTTAGTTAAAGAACTGATTGAAACTTCTCTGAGTAAAGCAGGAACAAATACCTAAACAATATAACTATATACATATACATACATATAAATCCCTAAAATAGAGGTAGAGTAGAAATGTCAAGACAAGAGGTAGAACTGTAAAGGGCAGCATGATAAATATCCCAAATTGTATCAATATACAAAATGTCTTGAATATACATACATGGAATATGGCAAGAATAAATGTGCATTAAATATCATAAGTGGAAAGATTTCACACAATATAACAAAATATAAACTTAATTTTACATAGCTTACCACAAATAAGAATATATAACAATGTAAGCTGTAAAATACTATCTCACTCTTACTCAATAATTCACAAGTAAATAGGCTAATCTACCTATATCCCATCTAAACCATACCTTTCCCAACCATACCCTATTCCTATCTAAAAGATAAACCCGAGTGTAAGCATCACTTTCCATACCCGACCCTAAATAACTAAAACCATCCCAAAGAAGATGACTATTATCCCCAAATTCCAAGGGTTGGGAAAGGGGGCGTTGTTATCTTAAGGTTACTTCCTGCTGAAATGGGACAATGATTGCTCCATGGGATCCTGTAGGAAGAAAATTTTTAGCAACCAAATTTCTCAACAGAACTGGCTGTGACATGTGTAGCAAGTCACTGTGTGGCAGAAAATGCTTGACTGTAGTTCTATTTGAAACTCTGGCCAGGGTGTAATAAGAAGGTGCACCATTACAGCTAGCTAGTCATGAGTTGTCTCGAGCAAAACAGTCTCAAACCGGTTTTAGGGTGATGTTTGCATAATTAGAAACCTTGTGGATGGGGTGGGAACATTTGCTGCTAAGAGATGCAGTAGGCTCGGATGTCTGATGTAATCCCAGCATGGTCCTTTGGACTAGCCAGACTCAGTTCTTTAAGGGGCTGGGCCTCACTTTCTTAGGACTAACTGGGATTTTGATAGTTCATCTTAACCAATGGTGCAGATGCCCAGGGCCATAGCTGATGGATGCTGTCGTGGCAGTTTCCAAAAGCTGAACTCCTGGAGCTAGTGTTTGTACATTCCCCAGGAAATTGGCTAACTCTAACATAACTTCTGTACCTTGGGTTCCCAAGTAAAGATGGCTGCATTTCTGACAGCTGCCAATGACTGTTGTTGAACTGGCCATATTATGTGGATGTAAGTTCAGTGTTAAGTTAACCACTGGAGGAGGCTGTGGGGCCTGTATGTCACCAAGACAGTGGTGGTCCTGTTAGGAAATTAGTTAATGTGGTTGGCGACACATTAACTAATGTGATTTGAGACAACTAAATTAGAACAGTTTACAGTTAAAGAAAAAAAAATTTGGATGTACACTTTTTTTAAAGTGATTTGAATAATTATTAAATGTTAAGATAGGTCTTGAAAAATGGTTTCGGTTGTCTATAAAAGACTTGCTGTGGGGTAGCTGTTCAAAATTATATATACACATCCAAAGAAAGCAATAAACAAATAAATCTAAGCTGCATCTGCCTTTGTTCTTTAGAGCAATCCAGAACATGGTTGTTTATTAAGGTGAGTGGCATGTCATTATAAGAAATCAGTGTTTCCATTTAGTCCCATTTTCTTCTTAGGGTAAAGATGGTATCAAATGTTCCCATCTGCTCTTCTACCTAAAATCATTGGCTTTGCAGTGGTTGTTCACACAGACTTATTTAAAGTCACCGCCAGCTCTCCCTGCTGCGTCCACACCAGATATTCCGAGTTACCAAGGACCAGTCTTATGTCAGCCCACCTAAAGAAGCTAGACTGTGGGGGTTTGGGCAGGCGCAGTTCAACAACCCAGAAAAGTCCCTGTTCTGCCTGATCATGCTGAGAATTCTTCCTCACTGGCCTCTGAGGGCTGCCCTCAATTATTTGTTTCTAGTTCTCTGGAAGTGGCATGGCCTTCCTGAGACAGGGACCGCTTTTGAGGGTTTTAAGGGAGGTGGGAGGTGAGAGCTCAGGTGGTGAACCTCTTGCCATGAAAGTATGAGGACCTGAGTTCAATACCCAGTGCCAGTGTCAACAGATAAGTCGGCTGGCATGCATCCATGTGCTCATGAGGCAGAGACAGGAAGCTCCCTGGAGCCCACTGGCCAGCCAGCATAGCTGAGTCCATGAACCTCCATCCTAGTAAGATACCTTGGTGGTAGTTTGAATGTAATTGGCCCCATAATCTTATAGGGAATGCACTGCTAGGAGCCAGGTCTTTGTTAAAGCGGGTGTAGCCGTTTTAGAGGAAGTGTGTCACTGTGGAGGCAGGCTTTGAGGTTTCCTATGCTACCACCTCAATTAAATGTTTTCCTTTATAAGAGTTGTTCTAGTGACATCTTGTCTGCAAAAAAAGTGGGTAGTTCCTTAGAGGAACAACGCCCAAGGCTGTCCTTTGGTCTCCACATGCGTGTGCCCATGTATACATGTCGGACAGACATAGGTACACAGATGATTAAATATGCTTTTAAAATTGAATCTCTACCAATCTCTTGGGTTCAGATGCTCAGGAAGGCTCATGGTACCTCGGTGGTCCTGAGTACTGTAAGAGGCATCATACTGTTCTTGTCATGAATTTTCATGAAAAACAAATTGCCAAATTTTCAGTTTGGCAATTGAACCTTGAAGCAGGTCACATGCATCTATAATTACCACAAAGAGGCCTTTAACCAAGGAGCCTGGTCAAGACGCAGGCGAGGGAAATGGGCCTGGCGCCCCCTGCAGGGCCTCTTAAAGACAGCTTTTGACTAAGTCTGTTTTGTTTTCATTTTGTTTATTGTTATTATTATGTGGGTGTGGGGCAGGTGCACAAGAGCCGCCAAGGACATGTGACGGTCAGATGGCGGCTTGTGGAGTCCATTCTCCCACGGGAGATGGAACCCTCAGGGCCGACCGAGCCATCTCACCAGCGCTCCTTCCTAAAATGTCTTTTGTTATTTGAGATCATAAAGGAATGAAATCGTTTCCCCGTCCCATTCCTCCCTCTGAGTCCTCGCTATAGTCCTCTCTGCTCTTTCTGATTCCTGGCCTCTTTTTTCATTATTTGTTGTTACATGCGCGCGTGCACACATGTGTGAGTGAGTGTGTGTGTGTGTGTGTACACATACATTCCTAAATGCATAAACATCATCTGCTCCATCTGTACAGCATATGAGATCTATGTATTATATAAGAACATGTGTGTGTGTGTTTAGGGGTACTTGGTAGTAGATAACCTATTGGTGTGCTCCCCTCTGGGGAAGACTATTTCTCATGCTCTCAGCACTCCTTGGTTGCCTGTGTAGCTCGTTGTGTAGGGTTGAGGCCTCCTGCTCCCCAACCCACCCCTCACACACCGTCACATGTCCATTGCTGTCTCTGTTCCGCTCATGTTTGGGCGGCCATGTTAAGACTCTGTGGGGGCGGCGTCTCACATCTCCAGGAGACCCATGCTCAGCAAACTCCCTGGTCCTCTTTCTGTTTCCTCCCCCACAGTGTCCCCGGGGCTGGGATGTAGGGGATTTTGTGTCCCCTGGACTGGGCTCCATGGTTGTGACTCTCTGTAGCGGTCAGCATCTGTTGGGAAGAGAAGTGTCCTTGGTGAGGCCCCACACTTCTCTGTGGGGGCAAGGACAGATGTTTTTGGATGTACTGAGGGATGTTATGCTGGTATTTTTCTTCTGATAGCTGCAAATTTGCACAGTTGTTTGATCAGTTTTACTGTGCACTTTTAACCTCTGGCTTTTTGTCTCTCTAGACGTCGCCTTATCTCCCAGAGATCATCTTTGGAGACCCTGGAAGATATTGAGGAGAATGCCCCTCTCCGCAGGTAAGTTCTCCATGCTTCGTGTATTCATGCCTTGTAACAGCTGCCAGTACGTGGGTGCTTTTAGTTTTTGACCTTCTGGATTAAATTTTGAGACTAAGCATTTGACTCCCAGGGAAAAGAATTCTCACAGTGGAGCCTCAACTCTGAAGATGTGAAAACTAGAACACCCACTAATAGACTGGAGCAGGCCAATCTGCCTGCAGATTTCATGGTTTTTTTGTTTTTTGGTCTTCCTTGTGGTTCCTCTGTGGTCGGTGTCCCTCTCAGTTGCTGAGGATGGCACCAAGGCCTTGGCATGCTGTCTGCAGTGGCCCTTTGCATTTTAAAAGTGGCCGTTTATGGAAGCAGGGTCATATTAACTCTGGCATTACACAGTGCTTAAGATGTTAGGCTTCACCCTCAGCAGGAGAAGCAAACAGATCTCCTCAGGAGGTGACCGGTGACGTCACTCCCTAGCTGGTTGCTGGGGCAACCTGATGAAGATAGTTGCAAGTACTCCCTTGGGTTTGGAAGCATTCCATCCCATTTTTCCTACCGGTTTACAAAAGTGCTGGCAAGGCACATTTTTGGGATGACAGCAATTGCTTGTGACTGGCAGGTTTCCCTCCCCAGATCCTGCCCTCTCTGCCGGCCCACATCTTTGCAGAGGTCCAGCCAGGCTTTTGTTGTGAAGGAGAAAATGCTCGCATGCTGTGTCTTCTTGCCTTCTCCCTGCAGCTCCAAGCTGGCAAGGGAAAAGTGTGTGATTCCATCCTTGGAAATATCCAAGGCCAGGGAGACAGGTGTGGCTTCACCGTGAGGACTGAGGGACAGAGGGCAGACGAGAAGACCTGTGGGAAGATGGCAGCTCCCATGGACTGGCATTAGTGCTTCCTGAGCCTGCATTAGTCTTCCATCTGCTTGGCCACGTTCCAGGATGTAGCTCCCCCGTGGAGCCAGGGTAGTGTTACTGTGGAGGGCAGAGCGATGTCCTGAGAGGGCCCCTCGCCAATGTGGGAAGCAGGTATCAGGTGACTGTGAATCTGGTCACCAACGTCAGCCAGAAGGCCAGGGTCTCTACTTTTGAAGTCTTTGGAAACCTACCGGGCTCCCAGAAGCCCCAAAGGACATGTTCTGTGAGGGGCAGTGTTCCAGTCTGGGAGAAGCCATTTCCCTGAAGGCACCACACATCAGCACCATTAAAATGCGAGGCAGGGAACTGGCTTTGGTTCAAGTAATTGGTGAGCATGGAGGAGGGAGAACAATGCTCCCAGATGGCAACAAGTGGCTTTGGCCTGAGAGCAGAAAATCATCTGTGCCCAAGCCTACCCACCCCCACCTGCAGCAGAGAGGGGACCAGCAAGGAGAGACGATGCCCAGGGCTTCCGGTGGCAGCCGTTAGCAGAACAATTCCAGCCACTCAGGGAAGAGGTAAAAATTGCCCCCATGAGGGTTCAAGCCTGGGCTGTTGTGTCCCCAGGAAATTAGAGGGCTGGGGGAGACTTGGGTGCCCCTCTACACCCCTGAGGTCTCCTCTTAGATTTACCCAGCATGGAAGAAGAGTGAAAATCACTTGTTCTGTAGTAACTGACTTCTCCCAAGTCGTGCTTACAGAATATGTCCTGAATTTCAATGGAAATCGTGTAAATATCTAAAAGTAGACTGATAGCAAGGCAGTTTTGGAAGTCTTCATTTCTTCAAATGAACTTTAAAAACAAAACAAACAAGCAGCTTGTCAGGGCCAGGGTGATGCTCTGAGTGAGGGCTCTTGCCAACGGTCCTGATGACCAGAGTTTGATCCCTGGGACCCATGTAGTAGATTGTTTTTGATGTCCACATAAGTGCTGTGTGAACGTGTGTGCCCCATTAATTTGTACATAAATAAATAAATAAATAAATAAGCAAATAAGGGTAGCGACTACAAAAAAAGGGTGTTCATATTTACTTGGGAATGCCTTGCTCCTAGGAAATGAAGTGATATAGGAGAAGGCCTGCTAGTTGGAAATGTAGGACTCACTTGCCATCAGACAAGCCTCGGCTCTCCCATCTGTAAAATGGGAGGGCCCGGATAGGCTGCCCTATGAAGTTGTTTTGCAGTCTCTGATAGGAACTGAACCAGGAATGGCCCTGAGGTGTTCTGGAAACTGAGTGGGTGGAAGGAAGGCTTGCTTTCAATCAAGGTTAGCATGTAAAACAGCTGCTTCCAAGGTGCCTGTTAAAACTTGAGCATAATTGAGTGTATCCTCTAGTCAGTGCTAACAAGGAAGAGCTAAACTTACTGAATTAGTTTTTGATTTCATTCTCTCCTGATTTAATTGTGCATCCCTCCACGCGTATGCTTTTAAATAGGTATTACACGTTAATGCGGGCAGCTCTGTGAATCCCGCCTTTGCCCAACCTGTTGTCCACTGCGGCCCAGGATTCCAGTTTCCCTGGCAATTGTTGCCAATGGTGCTTTAAGTGGCTTCCATCCCCTGGTGCTTTGTCTGAATGCTTTTCAAAGCAGCCCAGCACGTAGCCTGGGGAGTGAGGCCTACGTGGGTGCTGACACCCAGAGGTGCGCCTTTTATTGTTACACTTTGTCAGCTTCCTGTGCACACCCAGGGCTCCAAGAATGAGAGGACTTCGAGGAGTCTGCCACCTGCCTGGCAATCACCTGGGACCCCAAAACGCGACCCTAGGACGTCTCTTCTAGGTCCCTGGAGCAGCCTTGATTGACCTCCTGAGGCCATGGCAGCCACCAGCACCTGTTTGCTTTCTTAGGATGACTTAGCAGATGGGGTTAGAGCTACGGCTGTTGATGTCATTATTGCAGCCACCTCCTTACCCAGATGACACCTGTGGCCCTTTTGCTGCCCTCCAGTCTCTACAGCAGCCCAAAGAATCATGGTCCCCGTGTGCAGGCACTGGAGGTGGGGGCAGCTCTGGGTCATTCTCCTCTGTTGTCATCAATGCCCACTAGGATCCAGAGCTTGTCGGGTTGCAGGCTCGGTGAGCTCACCACCTAGCTTCCCATCTAGCTCTCAGCCTTTCTCTCAGACTGGCTGGCACAGAAAGCTCTGGTTTGTGGGTGGGGCAGTGTGAGGAACAAGGATAGTCTTAAACCTATGGCCCTACCCAGAATGCCCTGGAGGCATAGCATCTTTGATATTTATGCTTTAGGGATTCTTTTCTCGCCAGCAACGCCATGTTTCTAGATCCTTCTGTGGGAACCTTGAGTGGCTTGTAGACCTAAGCAGTCATTCTGGGGTCAGCACGGAGGCAGTTTGTTTCCAGAAAGCGGTCTCAAGAAGGCAAATAGAGGCTGTGTCCGCACGAGCCCCAGAGCTGAAAGCCTGAATGAAGTCTGTAAAGAGTTAGATGGAGCTGTGAGCACCATTCCCGGTACTGCATTTTCACAGGCAGCGCTCTGCAAGGCTCCTAAAGAAATTCCTTCTAAAGCTGTGAATTCTGAGCGTTTAATAAGGGCTGCTGTTTAGAGGATATGGAGGTCTACCCCCACCCAGCTCACAGCCTATTAATAGCATAACACTTGAAATTTGCATGTGATGTGTGTGCAAGTCCGTGTATAAGTGTGTTCGTTCCAGTGGGTTACTTGGCAGTTTATGAAACACAGATACACAGTGTATATATTCATTTCGTTTTCACAGTAATCAGCGGCAGTGGGGATTGCAAGTGTTGCTAATACAGTTAGTTGGGAGCCCTGAGTGATTTGTAATGCCAGCAGTCATGAATCGTGGTCACAGTAATTTCAGGGTTGGGGGTTGGGAGGGCCATGCCTCTACTGAAGCTTCAGCCCACTATAATGGACAGTGATGGGAAATAGGGCCTCCCCTCTGGACACACAGCCCACAGAAGGACTTTTCCTAGTAAAAACCACAAAACCACCGATTGCTTGCCTTTTCTTGACTCGCTTCGGTGGGATTTACTCACGTGAGGTTATATCTTGGAGTTTTTTTTTTTTTTTTTTTTTTTTTTTTTTTTTTAAACAAAACCAACCAAACAAACAAAGTATATTGTGATCTGTACTCTAAGAAAGGCCTTCCAAAAAAGCCAGCCTCTGCTGGAAGGGTACACAGGGATGAACCAGGCCAGTCCTGCCTTGGAGATTTTCCCTAGGGGAAGAGGAAAGAGTAGGTTGTCCTGTAGTTCTAGAACCCTTGTTGTTCCTCAGTTCAGTCCCCACATGTGCATCCTGGGGAGACATCTCCTCCCTTGAGACAGAGTTGACTGTTTTCACATGATGTAGCCACCCAGAGCTCAGGGTGGGCTTTGGGGACCTGGGTTTTCCAGAGCCTGTTTGGGAAATATGAGGTTATGGGTATGCACATCTTATAGGAAGAGCCAGCTCTTGGTCTCTAGCCGGGAAGGCTTTTAGTAGAAGTAGCCTCGCTGTGGTGGGATTTTTCAGCTTTGGTAGTAGTTAGTGTCTGTGGTTTGTGAGTTAGGACTTACCACAATACTTCAACAATCGCTGACCACAAGTAAGCTTCCTCAGCTGTCCAATGCTGCCCGTTCTCGGGGTGGGGGGGGTTCTGTTTTCCAATCAGCTCACTTCGGTTCAGTAGATAAGTACTTATTAAAATGTATTCTGAAGCAATAAAAGGAGACAGCAACTACTAGGTCTTAATTCTCATTGGGATTTAAGCTGTGCGTTCCCAGGTGGAGTCAGGAGTTGGGGCCACCGCCCAAAGTGTTCAGGCCAATTCCCATTCCAGAGGAGAAACGACTCAGGCTTGCTTTTAAAATGAACTTTGCATGTTAACCCTCCGGCCTCAAATCTTCTAAAATTGCAGTGTTCTGTTTCCTTTACCTGTGTTGATTTAGGATGGTAAGAGGGCGGATGTCCTTGGAACCCATTTAGGCTACATTATTGTAACTGGGGACAATAGTTTTCTTTAGCTAGCTTTTCACAGACTCATATAAAATGTTATCAGTATTATCAAGGAAATTGTCTGTCGTTAGGTTTTTCTAAGTTTCCTTGCTCCCGCTGGCTGTATTGTCCCCACTGTTTCCCCACGCCTGCCTGATACGGGGTGACTCAGCCATTTGTCTGGTCCTTCCTTCCTGCCTTTGTGTGGATATGTCTCAGTGGTCCAGTAGGCAACCAGTGGCGTTTTTTAAATGACTTTTTCTTTTTCTTTTTTTCTTTCTTTCTTTTTTTTTTTTTTTTTTTTTTTTTCCAGATGTCGAACACTCTCAGGTTCTCCCAGACCAAAGAACTTTAAGAAGATTCATTTTATCAAGAGTATGCGACAGCATGATACCAGGAATGGCAGGTACCACAGGGCAGGGAGGCCAGTGGGAGGGCAGCCACAGGGAGGGAGGGGACGGTTTTAGTGACTAGAGCCGAGCAGGGTTAACCCTTCGAGTTCAGAGCAGGTGCCACATCCCCCAGACATCTCCATCTGGAGATCAGACTTCTAAGGGCCTGATGAGAGGCTTGGACTAGCAACTGGCTGGCATTCTTACAGGACATGAGTATGTTTTTATAGAAAACTTTAAATAGAGAAACAATACTTTCTTTCTGTTTTTTCTGCTTTGCTGGTTTTCTTTTCATTGTTCACTGTTACTGTCTGGGCTGATCAATAAAAGCTGCCAGATCTATGCCGGAGCTTGGCTTTAGCTGTGGTGTAGGTGACTCTTCAGGAGGGCAGAATCTGAACTTTAGCTGTCAGATCTTTCCTTGGGTTCTGGGCCTGCTGACAATCTTAACAGAAAGCTTTTTCTATCCCTTCATTAAACAAAAATTGTGGTTGAAAAGTATACAAACATAACACAAAAATTCTCGGGAGGATAGATTGGAATTCTGCCAGCATGCTTCACCCATCAGACCTCTGCTGTCCACAGATGCCCTCTGACCCTTAGGGATGGCATGCTGTTCCGAGCAGGGTCCCGGTGCCACGCCCACCTCATCTGATAGGATTTCTAGAAGACCACGTGGTCTCTAGACCACTTCAATTCTTACAAAACAAAATTGCTGAGATGTCTCTTAGAGATGTTCCTGAAAGCCAGCATCCCTGCTATTCTGAGGGCAGGGAACATACGTCTTGTGGAATAACATTAAGGAATAAGTTTCTAATAGCATCTTAAGGCTTATGCCTATGTTTTGAGCCTTTTCCAAACAAGGAACATAATTTTATATCGACTGTGATGGTTTCAGAGCAGCACAGTTGGGGTCTTCATATCCTGTGTAGATTCGTGTGGATTGGCTCATTCAGTTCTCCAGCCACTGTTCACATTTTGCAATACTCTCGAAATTTTCGTCTTCGCTCTGATGCTCACTGTCTTCTTCAAATTATTGTGCCACATCCATTCAGTCACCGTTTTTGTTTGCTTTTGAGGCTGTTTCCAGTGCCATTTTTAGTCTTTATTTAAATCTTTGGGTTTATCTCTTTAACTATAACACAAATGCAGAAAAGTCTCTTAATTCCCAAATAAGATCAATGATAAAGCCAAAGAGATGACCCCAGTTAAAAGCATTCCACGTTCCATCCTGACCATCCAGGCACACCATCAGAAGGCTCCCGGGCATGGTTAGGCAGTGAGAGGATGTAGCTAATGGAGGAGCAATAGAATGGGATTTCAAGTTACAGAGTAGCCGCCCCCCCCACACACACACACACCATGCCGAACCCTACTGTAAATTACAGTTCAGAGAGGCTATGGGGGCGTTCTGATAGTGAGCGATGAGCTGGTGTCAAGGACACCGCCTCCCTGAAGATCTGGGGCAGGTGGTAAAGGTAAAGGTAAAGCAGAGCTGTAAGGACCACGGGCTGTAGGAGGTGCTCTACCTGCTGAGCACACAGAGGGCCAGTGAGGCTCACCTTCCACCCCGAGATTTAGTAGTAAGGGTAGATTTCCCTGTGTAAAACCAAACTAGAAAGGAAGCCAGGAAGAAAATGGGATTTCTGAGGCAAGAGAAGGGAACAGAGCTTGGGGATTGAGGCTGGGAGAATGTGGGCTGGCCCTTCCTTCAGAAAGCAAGAGGGGCTGTGGGTAGCACAGCAGTCTCCTGTGGAAGTGCCCAGACACTCAGATGAGCTGCAGGCACAGCCCTACTGTGCCTGGGTAGAGGAACCTTAGTCATGTGCTTTGGGGGGATCTGTGTGGTGGCCTCAGGAGTAGGGTATGAATGATGTTTGGCTCCGGACCCCAACAGGCTTCCACCTGAGCAGTATTGGTCACTGCTCTGGCCTATGCCTGCTTACTGCTGTGCACAATCTCCATACCTTCTGGTGATTTCCCATAAGCCCACAGCCTAGTGTCTCAGTCTAAATGCAAACCTGGGGCCCTTGGCTCATCTACCCTGAAGATTCTGCTGTGGGGGCCTCCCTTGACCCCCCTAGATGTCTGGCAGAATGATAGAGGCCATTATTGAAGACAGTTAGCATCTCACAAAACAAGCAGGGAACACTCTAGCCCCTGGCACAAGACTCTGGGCTAGAAATGAAGTTTGAAACATAATTTTGAGATAGAAAGCGTGCGCGTGCACACACACACACACACACACACGCGTATAAAGCCTGAGCTGGCCTCATAGTCGGTAGCATCAAATTGTCTGCTGATGGCGTGGCTCTCTGTTCCCTACAGAGGAACAGCATCCCTCTGTGACATAGACAAATGTAGCTGACCTGTGAGGTAGATGGAAGCAACTGGAATAGAAGCATCCGGCACTCGGGTGCCATTCGGATGGATTCACATTTGAGGAAGAGAGTGCAGAGGAAAACAGCTGAGCATCCTCCTGCACCAGGGCAAAATTAAAAGGGCCATCCCCCAACACAGATCACAGGCTAGCCCCTGAGGGGGGAGCAAGCCATGACCCCTCCCCTCCCCAGCAGCCTGGATTGGGACCCGTTACTCCAGGTCTCACACAGGAGACAGGCTTATGCTCCAGCCCTGGGAGAAGAGGTTGTTGTGGTTTTATAGTAGGAAAAGAAAGTGGTTCCCCAAAACTGCGAAGTAGCCTCTGGTGACAAGGATTATCTTGCCAAGGAGTGGATAAAGTAGCAGAAGTCAGGAAGTGGTAATGATTAATGCTCAGGAGCATGAGGTGGCTTTGTGCTCTGTGCTCTGGGGCCAGGCTTGCAGCACTGAATACGCTTTGTTTTATGGACTCAAACTCAACAGGTAGCCTGGTACGGTAGCATACATCTTTTCTCCCCACACCCAGGAGGCAGAAGCAGGTGGATCTCTTTGAGTTCTAGGCCAGTCTAGACCTCATCTCAAAAACCAAGAACTTCGATAGGCTGTCCAAGTGTGGCGATGCCTGTGATGTCAGCATTTGGGAGGGAGGGTAAGACAGTCACAGGTTCGAGGCCCACTCGAGCTATGTAGGGAGTCCCTATCACAAAACCAAGGGCTGATGCTGTAGCTTGGTACTAGAGCACTTGCCTAATGTGTATGAGGCCCTGGGCTCCATTTCCAATACTCCAAAATAACCCCCAAAGTAACCCTTGGACCATATATATATATATGGATGGATGGCACCATTCTCTTGTTTATAGTACACAGAGTAAGGTCTCAGCACTGAGGTGTGCTCCTTCCCCTCACCTGTGAGCACAGACACTATGTCACAATAGTGTCTCTCAACTGAGGTGTCTGCCTTCTTGCCTCACACTTGTTGATCATGGACAGCTACATCATAAGGAGGCTTTGAGATTGCAAATGAGCTCACCTTCAAGTTAGAGGTAATGGCCGTTATAATCAAAGTCCTTCAAGGTGGAAGAGGGAATCTGATGACCATGAAAGCAGTTCTTTCTGCCCACAGCGGTCAGAGGAGACCAGCCCTGCAGAGGAGACCAGCCCTGCAGAGGAGACCAGCCCTGCAGAGGAGACCCGCCCTGCAGGCTCCTCACACCCATTGTCAGTGATTAACTCTAGAATTGGAAGACAGTAACTTTGTTGCTTTAAGCCACCAAGTTACCCACCTTGCTAGGAAATGAATGCACTAGTAAGTCCCAGTTAACAGAGCAAATACTGAAAAGGAGGAGGCAGAGCTGAAGCCCAGGTATGCGACTGCGTGCCTCCTCATGAGCATGTGGACATGTATGTGACTGCATGCCTCCTCATGAGCATGTGGACATGTATGTGACTGCATGCCTCCTCATGAGCATGTGGGAACTGACAGTCCATTCCCTACACCACAGCTGGTCATGGCAGAGTTGGAAGAAAGTTGCAGCCAGCCTCGCCATTTCAGTGAGCTCCAGGTTCAATGAGAGACCCTGTCTCAAAAAAATCAGGTGGAGAGTGACAGAGAGAGACAACCTCTGGCTTCTCTGTGTGTGCGCACATCACACACTCCAAGAGGAAGAAGAGTAGGAGAAAGAGGAGGGACCCGGGGCTCTTGGCATTGCACGTGGGACTGTGAAGAGGTCTGGTTGCCCTGGGAAACAAATAGAAGCTGCTCAAATGGCAGAACATCAAGTACTTGTAATAGACAGCAGGTGTATACTTACAGGAATTGAGAGGAAGGATCCAAATAGACGTTAGTGCAGACGTTAGTGCAGACAGCTTTCTTCATGGTAACCGAGACCTGGAGAAAAGAGCAGAAGTCAGGCATGGTTATACACAGAATGGCACTGTCTAGCCACAGGAGGGGACACACTGGCACCCGGTCAGCTAATATGAACCTTAAGAAAAGCTGTGGTGTTGAGCGGATGAAACTAGGCACAAAGGTCAGATGTTGTAGAAGCACACTTATATGTAATATGTGGTGAATTCAGAGAGACAGGAGACAGATGAGGTTAACAGGGGTCGGGGGGGGGGGCATAGAGTTTGGGGTGATGGAAAAGCTGTAAAAATGGACGTGTGCACGTCGTAACAACACTCAGTCACCCCGAGTTGCACTAACAAGTCATCGTATGCGGTGTTTTACACTTTATGTATATTTTGCTAAGATAAAGTAACACTGGCAATAGGGACAGTAAAACCATTTTCAGGGGAAGGGAAGGGATAGTGTACTTGTCGGGGTTAAGGGTCAGCAAAGGTCAGCCGCTGACCTACGTAGAGCCTCTTCAAGTGGAATTGGAAAGCACAGAAGCAGCGAAGGGTTGTGCCTGCCACAAGTAGATGCTCACACACATTGGGCAAACCGAGTGAAGAGGCCTTGTAAGTGGAGTTGCCGCTTCGGGACTGGACGCTGTGGATGGAAAGAATTAACAATATGAAATGATCATCAGTACACCGTGGAAATTTTTTTTTTTCAAGTTCTAAGCCTTAAAACACTGCCTTAAAGTCAAAAGGAGTCTGTGGTAGCAGAGGGTAAATTTTAATTATC